TTAAATCGCAACGTGTTGACATTTAAAGGGCCGAAGCAAAAGCTATACAAAAAACCACCAAAACTTGCCGAAATTTCAAAATTTTCCCTCCATATTGAATGAGGCAGAGAAGAAATGTTTTACCTGTGGACTGGGTCTGAAATATGGAAATTTATGCTGTTTCCATGACAAAAAAAAGCTTATGAATTATGCTAATCATGAAGTGCGTCTATATGCGTGCTCAGGGGTCAAAGGGTTAAAGAAATGTATGTTGATGATTGTTGCAAAGTCCAACATAAATTGCAAGATATCTTTGGACAAGATGTTGCCATAAAACTAGACTTGTTTCACGCAGTGCAGAGGATAACCAAGAAAGTTTCAAAAAGACACCCACTGTTTTATCACTTCGCAGTGTCTCTTAAAAATATTTTTAGCAATCCAGATGACATTGGGGAGGTAGGATCACAAAGTACACCCGAACCACAGATACTTGAAATTAATATCAAGGCTTTCGTTGACCGATGGAATGGTGTAACATCTACGAACGGGCAATTAATCTTAACAACAAGGGTCTGTAAAGAAATTAATAAACTTAGGACACACATAGCCAAGGGGTGTCTGAGTTACATAAAACCCGGGAGGGGGACGAACAGAGATGAGTTACTACATAAAAGAATAAACAGTTTTATGAATTATTCAAAAGTTGGCGATGAACTTGCTTATGCACTCCTTATGGCAGGCTTTGATCTTTACAACAAAGATTTGAAGAAGCCAATCGAGAGGTGAAGTGTTATAGAATATGAAATAAAATGCATTCTCAGCGCAAATAATGTGGAACCCATTAAATTACCTAAATTTGGGTTGTTGACATTACCTCAGAATAAATGCTCTGAGCTAGAAGAAAGTGATAATGATGAACTGGAAGACGACGTTGATGACATTCTTTTTTTTTACATTTAGCACTTTTCAACATGAAAAGCGCGCACGCGGCACCGCCGCACAGCGTTTCCACTAAACTTTGTCAGCCATTTGTGTAATTGAGTCCGGTTCCACTTGAATTACTTTACACTTTAGTGACTTTACAGTGAATAAAACAATAGAATAATCAAAAATAAGAAATATTATGAATTAATGAATATAAGATGTCTGATTTTGTTGGAGTCCTTGGCCTTGAGGGCGTTGAGGCTGAGATCACTCACGAAAGCGATACGGATTCAAACTCAAACAACACCGTAAACAACACCGCTATTGGCGCTATAAACTCAAATGGTACGTATTTCACAATTCCATTTCAATATCACTGCCTGAAAGTCTCAAGTCTCAACTTTCAATTGTAATGTACTAATTTTACTGTTGGGCACTTTGCTCTAGATTTTAAATTTTGATTTCATTACTTGTCAATTCCGTGCATAATATATTTAATATTGTGTTTTATTAAACGTCGCCACTGATAAAAACATACTATTTATAGGAACTATAGAAAGACAAATTTCATGGGCATTGTGCCATGATGCCATTCCCCTGTTAGGCTGTTACTTTTTTATTGAGTTTTTTGTGAAACATCAAGTAATTGTAATTCTAGCCTGCAATGTTTGCAAGAAAGCTGTCCCAGGTGCACACAAGTGTGTGAGGTGCAGACAAAGTGTCCACTTCATATGTGGCACTCCTGTGGAAGGAACAGAGGAAGGATTTGGGCAGCCTGTGGTGTGTACTAATTGTGGTAAGTTTAAATGTCAGTGTATAAATTCAGTATAAATGAAGATTTAGGATTTTTTAGTGTGGCATTTAATTATACCTAGCAGGGAATACTTTACCAGTTAGAAGTATATGTAAACTACACTGCTACAGTACTTTAATTAGAAAAACCACAACTGTCCAACTGTTTAGAGAAACATAAATATACCTGTTCAGAAGGAATACACTATAACTGACTGTATAAGTTTTTTATATACTATGTTTGGTGCTGCGCATTTACTGTAAAAATACAGTGTAATCATTTTATACTAACTGTTTTGGTTGTTTGACTTTGAAGGAAAGCACAATCATCCTTCATTAGGAAGTGCACATGCAAAGACAGCCCCTAAAACTGGAAAAATTCAAGTTGGAACAAAGCATCCATCAGGTGTGTATATAGAAGGTTGTTAATATATATATAAATATATATATATATAATTATATATATAATTATATATATATAAACAATTATTAGGAATTCTTCGTATGAGATAAAAGAGTGCTTAATACTGCAAGCAAATAGAGCAATATATTTATTCATTTACATAATTCTTAAAAAATTGGCATCGCTACTCTGAGTTTCATGCCACAGAGGCAATCATCAGGCGACTAAATTTTAGTTCGTTACAAGTTTGATGATGTGCGACTTTCTTGTTTGCGCGTGCGTTTAAAATTTCCTGCCCAGAATTTTTCTCGGTGGCGGCACTTGGCGAAGATCTCTGATCTTTTGTTCAGGAGTTTGTTTGCGTCACCCTGCAAAAGACACAGTTTCTCTGCAATACAGAGGTTGCATCGTTTAGCACCCAGCGAGTATGCTGGCGCGCGTTTTGTGATGGACCAGGGAAGTGTAAACTTCTTGTCATTTCTTTTTAAATTCCAAATATACTTTGAAAGTTCAGTTTCCTTCTCGTACCTGGCGTGGTTAAAGGACTTTTTATGGTTGCTGAATCTTGATTTAAATGAATTCGCAGTCATTCCGAGGTATTGCTTGGTCTCGTCTTCGCTATTTAATTATATTTCGGCTGAATAAACCACATTCTTAGATAGGCACTTTTGGTCAAGTGGACACTGTGAGGTATTTCTGCAGTTACAAAGATGTGGTAGTTGCTCCTCAGCAGCTTGGTTCAAGATCTTGTTGTTGTGTCGTGATATGATGTTTTTCACGTTTGTATATATATATATATATATATATATATATTTATATATATATATATATATATTTATATATATCTACAAATGTATTCTGCATGGGAAGCCTCACCCGCTCACATTGTGTTATGTCTTTCGAGCAAAGTCGATAGAGGAACGAAAAAGTCTCAGTAAAAACACCGGCTTTGTTTCCATTGCCTTGCATCAGTCTCTCACATGGCAAAAGATTGCAAATTCACTGTAAAATGTTCTGAGTAGTGACAAACACTTAGCAGCATTGCATGTACACTAGAGATAGCAAAAGTCATTCAACAGTTTGACTTCAAACAACGCAATTCTCTGGGGATGACTAACCCAAAGATGATCCAGACATGCACCAGGCCTTGTCACTTTGTGTTAAATGCAAATTTTTTAAAAATTTGAAAATCTTGTGTTTTTTATGATCTGGCTTGAAGATGTCGACATTAAAATCACCCATGATAATAGTTTCAGGGTTTTATTATTGATAAGTATTTTCCAGATTAGAACCAATATCAATGTTGTCTTGCTGTTTTGATGAAGGTGGTCTGTAAACACCAGCCACAAGAATTGGACGTTTCGATTTATAAGGATATACTTCCAGCCACAGTATTTCACAATTCTTTGACATTAAATCGTCATGTTGACTTGATATCAATCTATTATTAACATACAGTAACATGCCACCGCCTTTTTTACCAATTCTATCCCTTCTATACAAATTATAATAGGGAATATGATAGATTGAATTCATTTTTTGTTTGTGAGGAATGTTTCAGTTAATATGACAATATCAGCTTCATTTTTGTCATCCTGGGCGCCTAGCCAGAATGAGATTTCCTCAAACTTCACATCAGTGAGACATTGAACATTCCATTGGCTTTTATAAAATTTGGTAAAAAATAAATATATCGTATTAACCAGTCATCTGGGGCCAGTTGTTCAAAAGCCGATTAGCCTAAACCTGGGTTAACACAAATCGACAAATCAAATTTTCCAACCACTTATTTATCAGGTGGAGTAGATTTTTCGAGAATTCTTTTCGGGTTCAATAGAGATTTTGTTTTTCAAAGTATTGATGTGAATGACAATGCAGAAATACATGAACAAAAACAGCGGGTTCAAGTTTACCCCGGGTTAGCACTAATCGGGCTTTGAACAACCAGCCCCTGGTGTTATATAGAACATATTTTAATTTGGACAACGATTTCGTGGATGACCTAGCATAGGCTTTTTGCATTTTTTACAATGAAGCAATCTTTTCTTTTTGGCAGTAGTACTGGTAGCACTAGAAGTTTGAGTAATACTCTCAGATCTTTCATTCTCTGCAATGATTAATTGATCTTGAACTTGTAATGCAGGGAACAGTGGGGTTTTCACACTTTGGTTGTTTGCAAGTTGCTGAATTGCATTTTCTGGATACAACCTGTTTGAAAACTGTGAAGTTAGTGACTTTGGGGCTTTAGATTGTTCTTTCTGATAAATCTTTTCCATATCTTTTAACGGACTTGTGAACAACATCTCCTTTATATTATCGCTGTATCCTGGAAAAAATAAAATTCTGTTTTCCTAATCACTTTCCAACACTAATTTAAGCAGCATACACTATTATACATTTACTACAAATAGAAAACATGACACCTACTGTAAGTTGGCTCAACTTTCACATCTCTAACTACTGCTTCATCAGCCTTAAACTTTGGCCACCAAACATCTGTAATGACTTCACCAATCTTCTTCCTTTTGACTTCCCGATGCACATTTTCATTGAAGTGAAGTGATGCTAGAATTTGCCTAGCTGTCAAAGTCAAATGTAAAAGCTCAGTGTATTCACTACACAGTAACTACGTAAGTGTTGTTGGATTATAACACCCACTAAGAAAATAATCTTTTGAATTAATGGTGATCAGCATGGGCTTACAATTCAGATGAAAAAAAGTATACCGGACTGACATGGAAATTGCCTGACACAGTGGTAATTAGTACTATGCACCTATCCATCGATTATATAAAAAAACAAATTACTATTCTTTAGCTCCGTTTGAGCCACCAATTTTTTTCTCAAAATTTAATGGAAGTGGGGAGGGGGGGGCATATCTATGATGTATTTCCAAAACACCCTATGGGACAACTAAAACAATGTTGTATGTTGCATACCTGCATTTTGTCCCCATCCATGAAAAACAGAGCATTTTGGGGTGCCAAAAGTTCAGCACAGCATGGTATGACTCAAGTGCACTTGTCTGAGTGTCGGGTGACATTTTCTTGATATAATTTACTAGGCATGTGTTGTTCACAATGGCACTTAATTTGTCATAAGCATCTGTGCCTAATATAAACAATACTCAAGGTAAATGCTGTGCCCTACAAATCAAATCAAATTACTGTAATCAACCATATGGTCTCCCCAAAATTGTTTATTTCATAAGGGACAATTTACATTGTATTCACTTGATGGATAATGGGATGAGACACTTTTAGCCCTAATTATATCATTATCCAATACTGATTCACCAGGCGGCAGTAAGGAGGAAATAGTTGTCACCGATAACCATATGATTACAACATATGTACTTTTAATGAATACTTATGATGAATAAAGGGGTTTGGAAACTTACCAGGCAAAATCCAGTCCCTTGCTTCCAGTTCACCATGGTTGCATTCTGGAAACAATTCATTAGGGTGATCATGGTGCCTGTCTGAAATATGCTGGATCAATGATAACCACTTAGCTTTGATCAATTCCACAAAACCTTGCTTGGTGGAGGTAACACACCAGTACAGGTGGTTCTTTATTGCTTTTGTCCAGTCTTTCAGAATCTCACACCCCTTCTTTTTACTTGCTTTAAGGACTCGCTTTGTGACTGCCTTGGCCACATGCCAAATATCATAAAAGTGGGTAGTGTTTGGTTGTTTTTCACGTATCCACTTGCTGATACCAGAGTGTCTATCTGATATAAAGATAGGGATCTTTACTTGGGCATTATTTTGAAGGTATGAAAAGCACCTCTTTGCTCCTTCTAACTCCATTTGGTTGCTGCCTCCAGTTTCATTTGACTACATTAATTTTATAATAAAAACACATTAATTTTAAGACTTCCAGTAAAAAAATTGGCAGGCCTGAAAATAAATTAAAATGGTATAAATCACACATCATGACTTGGTAGTAGATTGTTCCTACAGTACTATTGTTGACAAAAAAATTTTTGCCAGCCATTTTTTTTCTCATTTGTGTGTCTCTATGTTTAATATGTACACATCAAGACCTCATAATCCCATTTGTTAGCCAGAGTTTAAAAAAATATGTGGCATGCATGGTCACTGGTTAAAATCTGACTGAATAGTTAACTAGCACAACTGGTAGACATGAATGTGGGAACTCACCTGTACAACTTCAAAGTGAACAATTTTTGAAAGGGCATTGCAGAACATTGTGTAAGTTCCGTATTTGGCCGAATGGCCCATCGAATCAAAGCCCCCATCACCACTCCAAGCACTTTCTTTTAATTTGCATACTTCATTGAGGAGATTCTCTTGGTAAGTTTTCCAGTAAGCAAGAGTTACACGGAACAAAAATTTTCTCTGGTGATGGAAAAATGTTCTCCATGAGTAGGCACGAAGACCCATGTTTCGCAAGACGAGCAAAACCTTCTTCACAGTTGCCCCAGCTACCAAAATCCCATAACTTAATAACACATTACCAAGAGGATATCTCCCAAGAACCAAAGGTTACGATCTCCAAACAAATGCATCAGTGTTATATTAGAGTATTTGGCCTCTTGTGTTGAGGAGAATATTCTTGTGTTGAAGAGAATATTGCTCACTTGTTTGCTGTGCTCACTCATGAATGAGCAGTACTCTCTTCAACACTCAAAATAAATTCCATATTTCTATGCAACCATGTAATATTCTCTATGTAATCTCATATAGCCATATAGATAACTGTTACTAACAAAGAAGCAAACACTACCTGACAATGTGAAATGAACATATTCAGACCACTACAATTTCAGGTTGATTGACTCTAGTTTGGTGTTTTAATAATGTAAACCTTCCGACTTACTCAATGTTTTTCTTTGAATGTTGTGTGCCATCAGGCAACTCCTCATTATCTGATGGCAACTCTTCATCATCCGAGAGCAAGTTTTCATCATCAGCTAACTCTTCTTCATTGGGTATAAAGTCTTCAGTCTAATCCTCAGTAAATTCATCTTGGCTAGATAAAACCTCATCATCAATGTCTGAATTCAGGTTGTCTTCTACATCACTATCACACTCCATTTCTACATCACTTTCTTGTGGTCCACCACAGATTGTTTGTTCCATACTGTTCAGATTGCCTTCAACATCTGGTTCATCAAGTGATACATTTTCTTGCAATTGCCAGATGTTCTTTAAAATAAAGAATAATGAATTAATATGTATATATGTTTTGTACCTCAAAAGGTTTCCTGTTAGGATAGGAAACTACTTCATGCTTCATGGGATGGTATGCTACACTTTTCAGATACTCGTCTCTAACTGTAACCTTCTTAGCATTTACAGTTATTAAAGTGCGCTTCCCAATATTAGTTTCCTTGAAGCCAGTTAAAACCTTTTGCATAGAATTATTAAGATAGGAGACCATCATACTGTGAAGTACCTTTTTTGCTAACAATTTTTTGCCTCTGAGTCTCTTTACTTTTCGTCGAAGATTCTTGCATTCAGACAACTTTTGAAGATACTTTGACTTATATATGTTTTCCTTTTCTTTACAGGTGTTTGGGTTGTCTTTGATTTAGGCTCTGGGCTAATAGCTTCTGTGCTTTTTTCATTGTCTCGTTGTGCCTCGACAGTGGTTATATAAACCCCTTCCCCTTGTTCGGTCCTTTCATCCTCTGCCGTGGTAACCTTTCTAGTCACTTTGCAAGGGCTGGTTTTCGTAGCCTCTCGTAAGATCTGGAAAAGTAAGGATTAAAATAAAATTAATATTATATATACTTACAAAACATATTACCGAACACCTTACAGGTATATTATTATACCAAGCTTCATAAAAATACATCATGCACTTGCTCATTGATATGCAATATGAATATGCGAAATGCGACTATGCAAATACGGGCGCTGTGAAATGATACCTTCAAATATTACCTTCCTTTTTCCTCTCACCGTAATGTCATTAGTTTTATTATCAAACACGAATGATGTATCTTTTGTCAGAATAGATCCACGTTCCAGGACTCTATAAGTTGAGCATTCTCTCTATAAGTTGAGCATTCATCAGAACACATCGATGAATATTTTGTCACCTCAATGAAATCCACTCGATGTTTTCGAACAAATTGAACCCATTTCTGGCATGTTTTCGGATATTTTGGGAAAGAATGCATTTTTATACCAGGAGTGTACGATGTATTCTTGCAACTCACTTTTTGTGGCGTCCCAGCTACACAATATCTGCCTCCTCTTCTTGTTGCCTTATTCGCCTCCATATTTTCTGTAGCTTTGCCAAACGTGTTTGCAAACAAATTGACGTCACAGCCAAATGGTCACATGCTTGTGACCGCGCATAATGCAGGCTGTTTTAAAAGTGATAAATCCCAAGAGACATGCCTGACAAATACTTTTTTGTCCTCTTTTGCCAATTTTTTATTGAAGTTGTAATAATCGCATACATGGTGCAATTCAAAACAAGTTTAAAAGAAATCGTGTCAGTTCACCTTCAATAGTGATATAATAGGTTTTACTGAAACGCAGTTACTTCCTTCCGATTGTGACAGTGAAATTATTAATTATTAACTGTAGAAGTTAGAGAATTATAATATATCTTTTCCGTTAATGGGTTAAAGCTTGCCTTCGTTTCCCAACAATGTAGGGAACTACGAACCATTTTGTTGCTTTACCGAAAACAGAATTCCAGTATCGCACATTTCCTAGAATGTTTGCAATATGCGCTTAAAGTGCCTATATCACTTGTGGGATCTTTACGGATTTAAATAGAGCTTGAAAAAATTAGTTTATAAGTTCTACAACCCTTTTTGATATAGTTAAATAGTTTCGGAAATATTTACATATAAACATGACGATTTGCCTAAATTTCCGTCGTGCTCGGGGGCCTGAGACTCGGGAACCGAGTTCTTGTCAAACATAATATAATCGATTGTAATTTTACTTCGATCTTCCAATAACGTAAAATATTTTGAGAAAAACTCGTCCAGTTGCTACAGCCATACACAATGCACCGTTCCCACATTTTTTTTCTTGAAAAGCGCAAACTATATCGCCAGTGAAACTCTTCATTAACATATTATAAAAGACGGCGTGTTTGCAAATCATTCCTGAGTCCCAGTCCCCCCCAACCGACGTATTTTCGAAACTATTTAATTACATCAAAAAAGGCTGTAGAACTTATAAACAAATTTTTCAAGCCCTATTCAAATCCGTAAAGATCCCACAAGTGATATAGGCACTTTAATACTAATTGCGTCGACATAGTTCTTGGTGACTTTAATATTAATTACCTCAACTACAACCAGGTCCAACAACTGAAGTCTTTAATGCAGTCTTTGGATTTCTGTCAACTTGTAAAAAAAAACTAAATTTATTTCTTCGGGAAGCTTATTAGACCATTTGAACATAAAACCAGGATCGTTCCAAATCATTAAGGATTATGTCATCAATGTGTATTATTCAGATCATGATGCCATTAACATTACACTGCAATTGTAATTGTGATTAGTCTTTCCTATAAAGTTATTTAAGATTATGCTTTTGATCAGTATGCATTTCGAATTTTTGAAATATTTGAACGTTGAAAGTTGCAAAAGTTTGAAAAGTTATGAGTTTACGTGCAAGGGCGCTGACCTGCCAACAGATGCACCATTGGCCCAACGTTGTGACTCAAGGAGCGTCATTGACTCAATTATCAAAGAACACATTTTGGCTTTCTTTTTTGGCATTTTTTTGGCATTGCACGAGGAAGAGTTAATAAGAAGTATCCCAAGCGGAGTAAGTATTATTTTTTCTTGTTTTCTTTTTTCGATACAGTGTTTGTTGTAGTAAATACATTTAGAATGATTTGTAGTACTGAATATATAACTCAGTACTCTCAATCGGCGAAGCAGTACAATTCATTGTTAAATTTGTGATGAATCCTTGTTGTGCCCCTTGTAAAAATCTCTTTGAATTTTTCCCATCCTTCCCTCCCAAGCTTTTAAACTTGCCCTACCTTTTTGTTACCTTATTATTTCATGCAATCATCAAAATGGCCTCTTCTCAAAGTGAGTATATCTAAACGTTTTAACATGTTTCATTGTATAGTAGAATGACAAATTCAGAAACTCTTGTAAAATTTCTTATTTTAATCTAATTTACTTTCATTCCAGAAAGTTCTAAGCCTTCAATCCAACACAAGGAACAGATGACTTCCGATAGTAAGTATTTCATACGGTAGCAGTTATTTTGCCTATAGAGATGCAGAATTTCTTACCCCTTCAAATTAGCAGCCACTATTTGATTGGGAGTCCATGGCAAATCCCCCCCCCCTGGCCCCCTTAGCAAACCTGGGTCTAGTGCCTGACATGCTTATCAAAAAGAATGTCTGGCATCTTAATACTTAAATCCTACCTAAAGATTACCTTAAGATTAATGCTAGTTTGATCTTAGCCTTTGTGTAATTCGTTTTTATTTGTTAACAATTTATAGCAAATACATTTGTAACCTTCGTTATCTCCACAACATATCCCCAACAAAGAAAAGTCAAATTAATAACTATTTTTTTGACATGACCCTCCAAACGAAAAATGAAATCCTACGAGGCATTTGCTTTGCTCAGAAAAAAAGAAAGAAATGCAGACAAAGTGTGAATCATCTTCACCAGTAAAGGATCGCAAACTGTCGGATACGAAAAAATCCATGTACCCAAAAAAATGAGGTACAAATCAACAAGCGCACCAAGATCTCAGATCCGTCAGCTGACGAAATCACCTTCGACATCATGAAAGTTGAAAAAGAAGAATCCATAGAAGCAACTGTTGCTCATATTCTTTCCAACCCATCTTCCAAGTTTGACATTCTTGGTCGGGTTACGTTCCAAGGCCCAGAAGAAACAGTGAACTCAAAATAACAAATATGGCAAAAAGCAGCTACAAGGATGTTCCTTACATCACATTAACCAGAGATTCCGTAATTACCATTTCCGAAATCGTTGTGCAGAAACAAGATAAACAGCTAGTCCAGCATGAAGCCAAGAAAGTGTCCTGCCCTGCTGACTGCATAGAGAAAATATCAACATATCTTTCTTGCAAAAAATGCAGCGGAACCATTGCCAATCTGAATGAAGGAAAACTTTTGCGATATTCCAGTTGTGGATGTAGCCAACTAAGTCTGCTAGCAAACCAAAAACCATTGCAAAAGCATTATTTATTAACAATGCCAGTGAAAAAGTTTCTCTCACAATCTTCCATGAAAAATTAGAAGAATTACATGATCTTTATCTCCAAGAATCCACAGATGCCATTGTCAAACAGTTCCGCAGACTGAGCAAGGATGAGATGATGGAATTCCTTTTAACTGTTGAAGGAACCCTTTTGTACAATGAACAAATTATAGTTACCACAATAAAGTGCAAAGATAAATAGGTCACT